TAAACATATGTGCTATAAGATGCATGGTTGCAAACTTTGAGCACTTCTTTGATTGTCACGTGGTTGTCCTTAGAAGTAGGTCAAATTTTGAATTTGAGGGAAAATATGATTTTCAGCCATGTTCAGGAAACTATTTCTACAAAAGAAAGCAAGCAATCTGATAAAGTCTTTTGCCCAAAGTAACACTATGTTTTGTCTATTAAATGAATACTTGTGGGGGTTGGGGTCTTGTGTCGTTGGTGTGCACTCGTCCCTCAAAGTAGGCCATATTTTGGACATGTACAGAAATTGACATGCATGGCTATGTTTGAAGCTCTAGAAAGATCAAAGTTAGATGCCATTTGAATTCAATCTTTGCGGGGAAGTACATATATTTATAGTGTATCAAATGAATACTTGTGGAGGTTGGGGTCTTGTGTCGTTGGTGTGCACTTGTCCCTCAAAGTAGGCCATATTTTGGACATGTACAGAAATTGACATATTTGGCTATGTTTAGAGCTCTAGAAATAACAAAGTAGGATGTCATTTGAATTCAATCTTAGCAGGGCAGTACATATATGTATAGTGTACCAAATGAATACTTGTGGAGGTTAGGGTCTTGTGTCGTTGGTGTGTACTTGTCCCTCAAAGTAGGCCATATTTTGGACATGTACAGAAATTAGCATATACGGCTATGTTTAAAGCTCTAGAAAAAACAAAGTAGGATGTCATTTGAATTCAATCTTTGCGGGGAAGTACATATATTTATAGTGTATCAAATGAATACTTGTGGAGGTTGGGGTCTTGTGTCATTGGTGTGCACTTGTCCCTCAAAGTAGGCCATATTTTGGACATGTACAGAAATTGACATATTCGGCTATGTTTGAAGCTCTAGAAATAAGAAAGTAGAATGTCATTTGAATTCAATCTTTGCAGGAAAGTACATATATGTATTGTGTATCAGATGAATACTTGTGGAGGTTGGGGTCTTGTGTTGTTGGTGTGCACTTGTCTCTTAAAGTAGGTCATATTTAGGACATGTGCCGAAATTGACATATACATGTACGGCTATGTTTGAAGCTCTAGAAAGAACAAAGTTAGATGCCATTTGAATTCAATCTTTGCGGGGAAGTACATATATTTATAGTGTATCAAATGAATACTTGTGGAGGTTGGGGTCTTGTGTCGTTGGTGTGTACTTTTCCCTAAAAGTAGGCCATATTTTGGACATACATACAGAAATTAGCAAAAACGGTTATGTTTGAAGGTCTAGAAATGACGAAGTAGGATGTCATTTTAATTCAATCTTTTAAGAGGAGTACATATTATGTATTGTGTATCAAATAAGGGCTTGTGGAGGTTGGGGTCTTGACATTAACAGAAATAGGCATATACGACATGAACAAAAAAGGAAACCCTCAAAATCACCCATGTGATAGCCAACACTATAATAAACACATGGTAGAAGGATGGGTCTGAAAATAAATTCACTTTGGTATTTTCATCAGCTCAAAAACAGCCCAAAATCCAAATTTGGGGACAAGTGAGGAAAATGACCTACTTCGAGGTTACCCAAAGACTGAAATCTGCCTGTACATCAACTTCACACCTATTTCGTACAAGTAATGCATTGGTCTAATAATATCCTGAAGTATTTGTCGTTACGTTAAAGCAGTTGGCGGTGACCGCGTCCTAAACTTTGCCAATTTTCGTGTTGTAGAGACGCAAAAATCTGTCAAAATGGCCCCAAAACTTGAATGGGCTGTTGCTATGGCAACAGTGGGTTTTGAGCGGAAAGAAAGCTATTTCAAGGGATTGTGGGCGAAGTACTATCACTGTGCAAAATATGAGCAAAATCGTTTTTTGACCCCGCTCAATATTGCTTAATCAGACATTTGCTCTTAAAAATGGCCTACTTTTAGTGACAAGTATACAACAACGACACAAGACCTCCACAAACCCTTATTTGATACACAATACATATATGTACTCCTGTTAAAAGATTGAATTCAAATGACATCCTACTTCGTCATTTCTAGACCTTCAAACATAGCCGTATATGCTAATTTCTGTACATATCCAAAATATGGCCTACTTCTAGGGACAAGTGCACAACAACGACACAAGGCCCTAACCTCCACAAGTATTCATTTGATACACAATGCATATATGTACTTCCCTGCAAAGATTGAATTCAAATGACATCCTACTTTGTTATTTCTAGAGCTTCAAACATAGCCGTATATGCTAATTTCTGTACATATCCAAAATATGGCCTACTTTTAGGGACAAGTGCACAACAACGACACAAGGCCCCAACCTCCACAAGTATTCATTTGATACACTATAAATATATGTACTTCCCCGCAAAGATTGAATTCAAATAGCATCTAACTTTGTTCTTTCTAGAGCTTTAAACATAGCCGTATATGTCAATTTCTGTACATGTCCAAAATATGGCCTACTTTGAGGGACAAGTGCACACCAACGACACAAGACCCCAACCTCCACAAGTATTAATTTGATACACAATACATATATGTACTTCCCTGCAAAGATTGAATTCAAATGACATCCTACTTTGTTATTTCTAGAGCTTCAAACATAGCCGTAAATGTCAATTTCTGTACATGTCCAAAATATGGCCTACTTTGAGGGACAAGTGCACACCAACGACACAAGACCCCAACCTCCACAAGTATTCATTTGATACACAATACATATATGTACTGCCCTGCAAAGATTGAATTCAGATGACATCCTACTTTGTTATTTCTAGAGCTTCAAACATAGCCGTAAATGTCAATTTCTGTACATGTCCAAAATATAGCCTACTTTGAGGGACAAGTGCACACCAACGACACAAGGACCCAATCTCCACAAGTAC